GGGGTTTGGACTGGGTGACCCACAGAGGTCCCTTCCAACCCCAACCATGCTGTGATTCTGTGATGTGTCCTGACGGGGTAAGGGGAATCGGTGGCCGTGCCGGGCACTGACCCGGCTGCGCAGTCTGGTGGCTTGGACAGGGAGAGGACGACTCGGAGCAGACTGCCATGAAATGGCCGTCTGCATGCCACAACATCTCTTGCTAACTTCTCTCCCTCCCTTCAGCTCTTTTTGGAGATCGATGTAGCCTCTAGCAAGGGACTTCAAGCAGCAGGATCTGCATCTCCTCTTGGTCCGGGGCTTTGGGCTATGCCCTCCCCCAGGAGCAGGGCTGTTGTACCCCAGGCCCTGGCCCGCTCCTCAGGGCTGGGTTGTGCTGGGGTGCACAGGCTGGGGGTCCTGCTGCAGCCCTGGGGACCCAGCAAAGCAAACCTGGGACCCGGGACCTGCTCTGCTGCCGTGGCGGGGTGAGCCCGGCCGTGCCGGTGTGTCCCCAGCACGTGGGTGCACAGGGCTGGAGCCCTGAAGGCCACCTCCTGCCCCAGAGGGGCCGTTGCCTGTGTCTGATTTAATTCTCATGCTTCTGGCTACAAAGCAACTCCCAGCTGACGAGTCGTCAAGCCTATAAATGTGCATTAGCTGCTTTTGCTGTATTTATGCGGTAATTTAATCCCCAAGGCTTTTCCCGAAATAGCCCTGTTTGTGGAAAGCTTTCGGGAGGGAGCAGGGGGATGCAGCGAAGGCTGGGATTGGGGTTAGGGTGGGTCTGGGCTGGGCCACCTCCTCGGCACGTGGCCACTGCCTGCGCTGGCCACAGACCTTGTGTAAGGATTTGGTATCTGTCCTAAACCTGAAGCTACTTGGACACGGGAGAGATGAGTGCTCACCTCAAGCTCCCACCCCTTATATTTTGGGGGAAAAAGTGTGTTGCAGAGGAGCTGTGAGCCGGAGCAGCTGGATCTGGGTTATTCCATTTTGGTGTAGATTTGTCAACTGCTTCAAACAGGAAATTACGTCGTGTCTTGAAAAACCTCCAAGCACCTGTAACGCTGGGAAGCACGGTCTCAGCCGGGGGAGCCGGGGCTGAGCCCCTGGGCAGGTCCGTCCCTCGGTGTCCCCTGGAGGGAAGGGGTCCCTCGGGGTGGTGGAACGGGTCCCCGCGCTCTCCCTTTCGGTGAGCACCACATCCTCGCTCTGCTCTTCGTGGTTTCTTTCTATAAGCGCAGTCTTGGTTTGGAAGAAAGCACCCATCACCCTGTCCCTGCTCCACATCTCCTTGGGGACTCTCTTGACTTGCTCTAGGTCCTACCAAAACACAAAAGGGATGGGTAAGGTGAAAGAAGGCTCTGCATCAGCTGTGTCTCCCGTGGGCTGTGCCTGGCCATTGGCAGGGGGAAGGGGCTCCTGCCCCGCTCCCCACCTCTGCGGCAAGTAACGGGGCTCCAGGCCCCCAAGGGCGACCTGGGGAGGAACGAAGCGCCCGCTTTGGGAAAGCAGCAAACCAACCCGTGGCCGATTGAAGGTCAATCTGGTTTTGCTGAGAGCTGTTGGCTGCCTCGGCTGGAGTGATGCATTGCTCCGGCTCAACAGGACCTTCCTCCCCCTCTGACAGCTGTGCAATAGATCATGAACATATGCAAAAGAATAAACTGCATCAAAGCCGCTTGGCAACTTAACTAACCCAATTCATAAATTAAGTTCTATTCCTCTTGTAAGGGAGAAATCAGTCACTCCTCAAGGCTATTCGTCTCTATCGCTCATCTGGCCACATCCTTTCATAAATCTTCCCCGTAAGTCTGAACTGGTGATGGCTGGGTCGAGACGCAATATCGCTCAGTGCCTGCGCCGGGCTCCGGGGCAGCCCCGCGGCCGCTTTGCCCTGGGCTGGGGCAGGGCTGCTGCTCTCTGCATCGCCCGCACCCCGTCAGGCTGCAGTGGGGTGGTGGGGGCCTGTGGAGGGAGGGTGGGGGCTGGCACGGGGCTGGGTGCACCCTTGCAGCAAGGCGCTTGCGGAGTTGGGGGGGTCCCAGCCCAGGAGCCTTCCAAGCCCCCATGGCTTTGCAGAAAGGTGCCTCGCACCCCCGGCTCCAGATGGGCATCAGTGCCTGAAGCCCCAGCTTAGCTTTTCCAACCAGGTAGACAGAAGTCAGCTCTTCCCTGCTGTATCCCTCGGCCCGCTCCCCCCTCGTAGAAAAAAATCACCACCTTTTCAGGCTGCCATCTGTTTATTTTGTTGGACTCGGAACTTGCTGAAATGTCTTTCGATGGATGAAGAAATGCAGAGTAGAAGAACAGAGCCTGGCAGGCTGCATGGTGAGTGGAAAATAGTTTTTTGGGACTTTCTGGAGTTTGAAGGCCCAATGATGGATGTGCATGTGAGGGATGGTAATGGCTTTGTAAGTATCAAAACACAGAGCAAAAGAATAACTCTGCCTAATAGACTGAGAAATGTAAGTCGGACAGGATCCGCTCCGCTCCGACACGGGCGAGAGCGGCGGTGCTGAATGATGAAGTGCTGCGGGGCTCGGGAGCAGACGCTTATATTGGTTTAATGTGTTGGGGGAAAAAAAAAAAAATGGTGCAACTGGTTTTGAAAAAATACTAGAGACTCGCCGTGAGTGCGTTGGAAAAGGCTGCGTCTTGCCTCAGCCCGGGTTTCGAGGAGACCCAGCGTGTTCGCAGCGATCGGTGCGGGGGGCTCGCAGATGCCCGTGGCTCCGACCACCGGGCAGGGCTGCCTGTCCCTCTGCCTCCTGGCTCCCCTCTTGCTGCCTCCCCCTCTGCTGCTGGTGTCCAGACCTACTGACAACAGTGATGGGTTTATGTGGAAATTTTGTGGGGATAAATATTTGCCTGTCAGCAGCGCTAGGTCAGAGCATGATTTCTCATGTGCCGTTTGGAAATGACATTTCCAAACAAAATTAGGCTTTCCCATTGAGGGCTTTTTTTTTTGTTTTTAAGTTGGAAAAGGGTTGAATTTGAGGGGGTTCCTGCTTGCCACACAAATGGATGACTTGGTCATCCCCCATGCTTAGAGTGAG